ATATTTATATTGGCAATTTAAGAAACATAGTTGGTAGGGGGGGGGGGCGGCTAGTAGTAGTGGTAGTAGTATAGGAGGAGGAGGAGCAGTAGGAGGAGGAAGAGGAGGACGGCGACGGCAACGGGCCCGGCCGCGGTCACGGCGATAAGTATGCCCGAGACCACCAAGGCAGTACGCCATGTCGGCCACACAAATGCAAAACACTACGCCAGTGACGGTACTGCAGGTCCTGGGAAATCTAATTTGGCAATTTTTGCTGCAACCGACATGCGTGTGCCTTGAGCCGTCTGGTTGGCAGTGATAGCAGACAGAGCATCTCGCGCCTCGGGCAGCTGTCAGGTGCTGAGTGCCTTCGTGGAAGCCCTCGACCCGTCGGCATTCGACTCGCCGACCGTCCGGTTTGACCTCGCAGCAATCTCAATTGTGCAGAGCTTTTGAAGTCTCTGAAACTGTTTGGCTCGCGGTCGCCGAGGTAATTTTCAACATCGCCATTCTCATCATCGGTTCGACCATCGTGCTGGGTGCCCTGAATCCGGAGAAAGTCGCTCACCGCGCGCTTGTCCCTACAGTGGCTCAGTTGGCAATCTTGCCAAGAAATTTCATCTGTGATGGCAGGATATGAAGAGCGGCGACCCCGATGTGCTGTCACTTACGTCGGTACCTGAATTGAGCAGGCAAGGTGACGCAGCATGCAGCCATGCTCGGTTGAATGCGGCAAGGTCTGCTCTTCATTCCCAAGCTTTCGAGGCGACTGGTTCATCTGCATGGACTCAGAGTACGCAAAGCGTTGGCCCCCCTTCGCCCAGATTCAAGATTTAGTGGACGAACTTCTCTGATGCATTCTGGGAGTTGTTCTGGGGGCCGCAGCGCCCCCGAACGCTCCATGCCATGTGGACAGTCTTCATTTGAATGGCTGGTTATTGACCAGGGTTGAGATTGCTGCGCTACTTTTGCAGCCAGCGCATTGCGATGGCAATGTTCCTGCCCACAGGTTCCCACACCATTCAAAAACACTCATGTGCTAATTCTTGTTTGGGCAAGACTTCCAATATCCGTTTCGGGAACTGCCTTTTTCTGTGCAGAAGATCTAGTCAATTTTGTCCGTGAAGCAGCCGGTCAAAATCTTCGGAGTGACAAAGCCAGCCCCGCCCCGATGCGTGTTTAGCATGTGGATCTCTACATGTCCCGGCATTCTCCGCTGTGCCTATTGCGCCTGTCTCTTGCGGATCCTCTTTCTACGAAATGCGCTCCAGTCTACCCCCAAAACTGGAATTCTGCAGTCCCAGTAGTACCAAACAAGGTAGCTACAACTTGAGCCAGAGCAATAAGATGTGAAATGTGCCGCGCAAGAATAGTAGTCGTGTCCAAGGAGGGAGGGAGGTCTGAGTTCTTGACTGACTCCAATAATTTGCCAATCATGCAAAGCTTGATATGTGCTTTGCTTGAAGTTTTCGAGACCCAGAAAGACTTCACCTACACAAAGGCTCTTCAGCTAAGTCTTGCCTTGTTGTCAGAGCTACGTGTTGCTCATCTCTGCAGGATGACCTTGAACGGAGGAAGAGGGCGGTCGGCTGCAAAGAGTATACTATTCAACGTTCTACATTCTCTGCCAGTGGTGATGCAACCTTGCAGTCACCAAGGTTTTAACTGCTCTATGTGACACCGTTCTAACAACCAACGCCTACTTCGCCATTTCGTCCAGCAATGAAAGTGCAGATAGGCTCTTCAAGCGGCGCTGACCTTAATTAAAGAACTTGGCTGACACAAGCTCGGAATGCCCATGAACCTTCTGCAGCTGTTCAGGCCAATGCTGCATGAGGTCTTCACCGACTACCTCAAGGACAATGCCGAGAAGGCTGTTTGAATCAGTGCAGGGTCTGGTTTGCAGCAGGTAGCTGTTTGGCCTTGTCTCAGTTGCTAGCCCCCTGTACAATTCCCAGCATCTAAAAAAGGCACCGTTGCTTGAAACTGGCAGGCAAAATTTTTATCGTCCATGAGGAAGTGTCCTGGCTGTGCTTCCTTTGTCTATGGGAGACATAGCTTCACTTTGCATCCAAGGCAGTTTCCTGAAGATGATTCTTTAAGCGACGGTCCAAAGCGACTTAGGGTTGCAAGCTCAGCATGATTTGAAATTCCTAGTGCCCGCGTAAAACAGTGCTGCATGGTTCCGTCATACCGTCAGATTCCGTCAGGTGACTATGCGTGATGCGCATGGGAAGCTGTTTGAAACGGATGTAGTGGTATCTGATGCCAGCACAGACCTGAGGAGCCACTGCCTAGGAAGCATGTCCATATTGCAACGTGAATGCAGCAGGACTGGCAAAGCCTCCAAGCTCATGGCCAGCTCCATACTGACGATGATTGACGGGGACGTGAGCGTGAGCGGCAGCCTGCATCAAGTTTCGCATGTCAGTCTAGGTTGCGATGCACATTCGTCCTGAATATCGGTCTCAAGTTCTGGCAGAGGCGGGAGGGGGTGCAATCAGAGTGGCACTAAGTTTGACAAGCTGCCAGGCATCGAAACAGCGCCCCAATCGGTGGAAAGGCGAGACAGGCATCCTACCCTGCTTGAGGGAGTGGATCAGCGACCCAGCATCTATCTGACGCTACAGCTTTGGCCGTCCAGGGGCTCCAGGTCATGATACCTCCCAGCCCAGTGGGGTTCCAAGTCAGGTTGCATTGATACAGCTTTGGCACAAGCAGATATGTTGTCAACGGTCATACATAACCTGCCAGATACAGTGATGGCTGGTCTTGCCGGTCTGGCAGGCCAGGCAGGGGGGGTAGTGCTGGTGCAATTGTGGGCGCTCTGCACGCAGAGTTGAGCTACAAGCGTATCCATGCAAGGTGATCTGCAGTCGATGGGCATGGCCATTGAGTCAGTACAGGTGGACCCAACGTGGAAATCTCAGATTTTCTGACCCGGATTTGTTGCCGCTGATTCCCACTTGTAGTATTCAGGAGATCTGTGCCACCCCAACTCAAAGGCCTGGGGCGTGGAACAATCATTCATGGCATCTACAGGATTGCAGTGTCAAAGTTTGACAGGCATTGAGGAACAGCAGCGTCTCTTCCATCGAGATTTCAGCTTGGCGCCTGGTGTCAATTTGCTGGTCTTCGGCGTTTTGTTGCGCATGGCTCACGCTAGACCTGTCAATTTATGTAATGTGTGTTACAAGGTCAGGAGCTGCTCAGCATCTACAGAGACGTACTGCGCAATGATTCTTCTGGCAAGCAGCCAGGTGGCTTCAACATTCGGCATGATGTGGCTATGCAAGGCACTTGTGGTCTCAAGCCCCTCAGGCTCAGCTATGAGAATTGCCTCAAAGACAGGACGCAAGCGGACATTGCATGATTCTGGTATGGGGACGCAATGGATGATACTTTGCAGGACCACCACGCATACGTCTGCACCGCGCAAATTACGAGGCGGCTTGATATAGACCAGCGTTCCTCCCTGCGGCGCTTGAAGTCATTTTCCCGCATCAGTCTTTCCGTCGTCGAACATCGTTCGCCGCTGGCTTGGGAGAACAACAGGCTTCCTTGCCCTACCCATAGTTTCTTCGTCGTAACGCAATCAACAGATGATTTGCCAGGTGGACTTGAGAAGCCTGACTTTCTCCGATGCTGAGACAAGATAATTATGCCTACATTATTGGAGAAATTGAATTGTCTTCGCCAACATTTTGCATTCTCAACTTGGGAACGTAGTAGAATTGCTGAGCGTTGAACTTGATTCTTCAGTAATGATACACAAAATGAGCTCACAAGAATTTGATAAGATGATTGGCCATAACGATAATCGCGAAACCAGAGATCAATTCAGACCCCCCAGGACGGGAAAACGATTTACCCGATTTGCCTCGCGTCTATCTGCCTGTCTCCCTGTCTCTTTGTCTCTCTCTCTCTCTCTGTATCTGTATCTCTCTGTCTCCTGGTGTCGCTGTCTCTCTGTTTTGTTTGTCTCTCTATAACTATCTCTCTCGGTCTCTGTCTCTCGTTGTCTCTTTGTCTCTGTCTTTTTGTCTCTCTGTCAGTCTATCTCTCTCTCCGTCGGTCTCTCTAGCTGTCCCTTTTCATGTCTCAGGACGACCAAAGAGCTTGGAGATTTTTGGTCAAGCATCCCTCCTACCCTCTCTCCGCTTCATTATCTGGCTTTGGTTGCTTGTGCGGCAACTTGGTCATTGGCATAGGTCGCGCTCCCCACTGTTTTGCAGCATTTAAATCTCCGTGGACGGGCACAGCCGAGTCAAATATTCTCGAAGATTTTGGACCTCCTTGTCGGATCTATCTCTGATATTTTGTCGTGCTGCGACACTGCGATCTGATTGTTATTATTCTTCCGAAGCTGTCTTATAACAAGATCAATATTCATCAATCAGGGGATTGGTTTGTCAATCTCTTTGTATTTCGGGCTATCGTCTTGATAGATAATCGGTCTTTCTCTCTCGGGGCCTAGCGGCCTATGAATTTATCAATTGATATATCATTTTATAGCTTTGATACTCGTATTTATAATGCAAGCATTCTACAAGAAATGAGTGATTAAGAAATATAGGGGTTACGTCGGCTAGATAATATTAAAAATAATTTATTTTCTGGCTAAGAAATAAAGGCCACTTAATGATTCGGGACTACTTCTTATTTAGATCGATCTTGAAGGATTGGAGATTATATTTCTTATTTAGATGATTTCTACGATCTAAAAATGATTGAAATAAGAAATAGAGGAATTTTCTTCTATTGGAGAATTTCTACGACTACAAAATCTCTAAAATAAAAGATTTAAGGGGCTATATTTCTTGTTGGAGGGATTTCATCGGCCTCTTTCTCTTATTCTTGAGTCTTTTAAATAACCAATATAAAGGACTAAATTTCTTGTTTTGATATTTTTCTACGATCCCAAAAATGATTGAAAAAAAGGAAATCCCCCCTCACAGGGTCTACCGATTCTTTGGGCTGAAAGGCTTCTTTGGCTTTACGAGCGTTATACAGCACGCAATCGGCGGTTCATAGAGGGGGGATTTCATAGCAATAGGGCGGAGAGTTTAATTAAAGTTGTAGAGGCTTGAATGAAATTGAAGGATAATTTAATTAAACTATTAGATGATTTAATTCAAATCTCCAATAATTTAATTAAACTATCTGCCAGGAACTAAGAACCAAGAACCAAGATTCCCAGAAAAATTTTGCTGAGAATCTTGGTTCCTGGAATATAGACGGAAGATTAATAGAAGGCGGGGAATTTTAAATAAATTCTGTAATAATTTAATTAAACTATTGGATGGTTTAATTCTAGACTCAAATAGTTTAATTAAACTATTGGATGGTTTAATTCAAGACTCAAATAGTTTGTTTAATTAAACTATTGGATGGTCTAATTCAAGACTCAAATAGT